ATTGAGTGAATTGTCTGTCAGACCACCCGATGAGACGCCCGAACAGAGGAGACAACGAAAGTGTGAACTCAAGGAATACCGAAAAGAGCGACGACTGGAGAAGAAGGCCAACAAAGAGGCGTTTAAATCGGAAAATATAAGACTCCATAAAGAAGTACTAAATTTGCAGAAAAGTCTGAATGCGGTTAAACTCGTCTAAAAATGTTATCTATTGTCAAATTATTATTGAAATTTATTATTCATTTTAATTTAATTTTTATGAAATCATTTCAAAATAAAATCAATTTATATTTCACTTTAAATGTCGGTTTTCCCCCTAATTATCAGTTAATTATATGTAATTTTATTACAATTTGTTGTATAAAAAGCGCTCAAATGTGACAATTATTTCAAAAGTAATTTTGTTATGAAATTAGTTTTGAAACAAATTATTAAAGAGAGGAAAGACTTAATGAAATGGATTACAGATTAAGACTAAACTTAATCCATATAAGCGTGAATCAAATGAAGACAATTGAATCAAATGACAAGACTTATGATTAAATTATTAAATCAATACACAATTAATGCCAAAAATGTATATTGATCAATTTAACGCAATCTCGATCACAGTTTATGAGCGCATTATTACAATCATAAAACACCAGCCATTCATCGCATCATTCACTACAACCGATGGCCGGCACTACTGTAATCAGAGGGGGTTATGAGCCATACATTGTGTACACCTCTACCCCTCCACACACAGCACGTGAGTGAATGCGGCCAAACATTGAATGGCAGCCACGCGTGCGATCGGATAGAGGTGTTCGCTGTGGTAGAGATGTTGAGGAAGTGATCGATTGAAATGCAGTGTTTGTACGGTTTGTATGGCTTTTGAGTCAATACAAGCCCTACAATGACGTCGTCTTAAACACCGTTTTATTTATATTTAGTTTTAATTTAAATCAATTGTTATTTAATACTAATATTAGACACCAATTGGTGTGCAGTTAGTGTCCGACGAGTCAATGGATGGCAATAGGGATGAGAGCGAGAAGTGTATCCAATTGGCGAAGATCTTCGCGGCCAACAGTGAGACTCAGAAAGCCATCAAATACTTGATTAAAGCCCAACGACTCTATCCATCGCAAGTGGCCAACGGTCTGACCCATTGAATGCCCGCTAATGATCACCACAACTGATCCAATGATTGTTTTTTGTTTTCGCAGATCTATTAGAGAAGTTACAGAACGAAGACAGCGGTGAGAGAGTGGATGAAACGGATCCACAACCGGAGTCGACGCCGGGCGAGCCGTCGGGACCGCGATCTCGGTCTCGATCTAACAGTTTTGGCCGAAACGGTGACAAATCTAATCTAAACAGTAACTCAAACGCGGGTTATAGTCAGCCCACGTCGT